ATTATCTTAATTATATTTTAGATTTTTTATATTTAAAATGAGATGTTTATCHTGTATTTGATTGTGTTTATCTGCACTTAGTTACACAAATTCAGACATGGGATGAAATCATTTAGGGATGAACGAGTTTAAGAGTTTTTAAGAGTTTTAAAAGTTTTAAGAGTTTTTAAGAGTTTTAGCCAAATGTTTTATAAGATAGTATAGATATATGGGGAAATGTTTAATTGAGAACACATCCAATTTACGATGACACAAGACATTCTTTTACTATAATCAATCACATGTGATTCTAAATTAGAGACACATACAATCTTTAGCGTGACCCAGGTTACGGTCGAGTAGTGTGCACCACTAGCCCCTCTCGTATGTATTATCACATGTGATAAGGGTGTTTTCAAGCGATTCTATCACATGTGATACTAAATTAGAGACTTGGTTGACTTAGGCCGCATGGCAGCACGTACGCACACCACCAGGTCCCTTCACGTGTATTACAACATGTGATAAAATTATTATCACGTTTTCGTAAAATGTAGGTGTTCCCGTTTGAACCTCCACACACATATGTATGTGTGTGTATGTATATGTATATACGTTAATTTAGTTAAATGTCTTATTGGATCCGGCTTTGGGTTTTAGATTTAGAAATTATTTTATAAATTATTGTACCCAATTTTTATTTTCTGCTGCGTTTTTGGTTACAAGTTCCTTTTGAAACCCAACAATTATAAATTAAGATTAAAAAACACTGATTATCCAAACAATTTAAAAAAATTATCACTGCAACAAAATTAAGTTTATATGACACCCAAAAAAATTAAGCGTCCTAAGCAACCATTTTATAACACTTTATTTATAGGACAAGAAAATAAAAAATATATTTAAAAACGTTGCAATAAGTTTATAGGATACTTTTGAACATTCTAATAAGTTTTTAGTATACTTATAATATAAAGTGTCGCATTAGCAATTTTATATGACGCTTTTAAAAAGTTTTTATAAAAACAAGCATCTTATAAAAATATGGGTTTTAAGGACGCTTAATTTTTTTGGTGTGGTATTAACCTAATTTTGTTGCAGTGATGTTTTTTCTCAATTCTTTAAATAATAAGTGTTTTTTAATATTAATTTATAATTTTTATTATGTTGTTATCTTAATCATTTATAATTTGACTGTATAATAATCTCACGTTAATCGAACATAATGTTCAATATTTTATTTACATATTTCAATTTCTAACCCAAAAAGTACGTGAATTTATCTTGATTTCATTTGTTTTGTTTTTTTTTAATTTGAGATTTTTTAACACTAAACTTTTTTTTTGAATTTAATAGTTTTTAAATAAATATAATTTTTTTTAGTTAATATGTACTTCGTTTTAATAAATTTGATTTATGATTAGATATATTTTTAATAAAAAATAAAATAAAAATGAATCATATTAGATTTTAGAGCAGGTTACACTTTTGGTCCCTATATTTTAAAGACTAGTTAGTTTGTAATAACGGTGCTATAAAGGGACCATAGATTTTATGAAAATAAAACGTTAGGGACCAACAGTGTAGATAGTTTATTTTAAGAAGCAAATCCAAAATTAAGGAAAACATAAGAACCATGAATGTAATTCAATCTAAAGAAAAGGATTATCCAAAATAACAATTATAATACAAAAGAGTAAATTGCAAGTTTGGGCCTCTAGTTTGTTGTTTTTATTGGTGTGGGTCTCTACAAATCTTTTATTGCATGAAAACCCTCGTGGTAGGTAAAAGTGCTCGGTTTGGATCCCTTTCGTTAACAAAAACTAACTTTCGTTCGTTAACTCTCCCCTGTGCCTTGCATATGAGGGTAAAGTAGTAATTGTATCTCTTAAATATGATATAGCAATGACATATACTAATGTGGATTATTTATAGTTTTTTATTTATTTATTTTTTACAACAGCAACCACCACCACCTACCCATAAAACAACGAATCAGTTAGAACACTAGCGAATCAAACATAAACAAATCAAGCAAAAACACATATGCCCAAATAAATCAAATTCATTTCACAAATCAAATGTGATGGTTCAAAATCAATCAACTATAAACAAAACCCCCTAAGTTTAAGTAAAACCCTTAAAATGAAATCAAACCATAAACATATCCAGATCAACCACTATGTTTTCAACCTCAATCCAAAATGATAATTGATTTGAAACAAGAAGTACATCGATCAAAACACACCAGAAAACGAGAGTTTTGACGATAGTGTTCCAGTTGTGAGAAAGAGTGAGTAGCAGAGCTACTGAGATGAACATGAATCACACTGATTCTCCACACCCAATGTCAGAGGCAATACGACTTATTTACTTCGAGTTTGGATTTTTGGAGAAGACAATGACCCAAAAAATGGTAGTGTGTGGCAGGGTTTATTGGAGAAGATGGGAGTGCGTGGCAGGTACATCGAAGAAGATTGGGTGTCGTAGATGGTGTGGGTGTGGGTGCCAGAGACATGAAAGGGAAAAGGGAGAGGTGTCATGGTTTTGGTTATGGGGAGCATGCCGATTGTAGAGAGGGGGGATACGTCTTTTAGGGTTAAAAGGTTAAAAGAAAGGTGTGGTCTAAAATGACCCATATACCCTCACGTGCAAGGCACATGGGAGAATTAACGGATGTAAGTTAACTTTTGTTAGTGAGAAAGACCCAAATCAAGCATTTTTGTATACCACAAGGGTTTTATCGCAATAATTTTTTTGTAAGAACCCAAACCAACAAAAACAACAAACTACATGGACTAAGATTACAATTTCCCCTTTACTCAAGAGAAAATTAAACATGCTTTCTTCTTTTATTACTTTACGTATTGTGTGCTTGTTCCTCTGTTCAATTCACCGTCGTCCTCCTCCTCGGCGGCGAAACAATGGAGCCGGACGTCAGCATCGAAACCAGTTCCATGATCCGGATAGCCGTTCTCCCAATTGGAACTATCCATCCAAACCTCTTCCGAAACTACGTTGCAATGCTTGGCCGTCACCACAAGATGGAACTCTCAGCGATCAGTTCTTTCTACTCCCAACGCCATAAATCACCGTTCTCTCAACAGCCTTGGAATTCCGGTAACCTCCGGTTTAAATACGTGATCGGCGGATCGCCTCCGAGTCCGTGGGAGGATTTCCAATCGTACCGGAAAATTCTTGGTGTTATTGGAATCTGTCATTGTCCCTCTTGTCCTGATCTGGACAGTGTAGTCGGCCAATTCGTTGCGGCATGTAAAGGATACCCTTCTTCCCTTGTTCAACGATGTTTCGCCTTTTCTCCTGGAGATTCTCAGGTTTCAATCGTGTTTACAATTTTGTAAGGTGCTTTTGATTATTTTATTTTGAATATTATATATTATCAAACGTAGTTTCAAACCTAGGGATCATGGATATTTTTATATTGCAGTCCACAGGAGTTGAAAACCAGATTGCTTTTTCCTATACCGACGGTCTTCTTTTGTTTTTATTCCCTTTATGTTGCAATTTGAACTGGACTTGGAGATTTATTCACATGTCCCTGTAAGAAGCTATACTCGACTTTGGATGCGAACCAAAGCTACACGTTGATGTTGAACCTGAGACGAGTTACTTCGAGATTGATATGGATCCGAATGAATGGAATCATTCGAGAATAAATCAGCAATTACATTGAACATTCCACAAGTGCTACAGACTACAAATAGAATTTTGATGGTAATAAGTTGGTTAAAAGCTCCATCTTAATTTTGCTTACGAGAAGTAATGAGTTCGACATACAAAGTCAGATATAGTGTTTTCTTTGGAACTGAGGGAGCAATAAAGACATATTCTGAGTCCTTCCGAAGGCAATTGGATCTCGGATTGAAAACTAAGAAAAAGAGTTGTCAATTCTATCAGGGTAGAAGAACAATAGGGTGGTTTTCTGAAATCACAATTGCTTGGATTCTTGTTTGGATAGTATACCACTTTCTGAATCAAATATTTCGACCCTATAGCCTTGGGTTGCATGAAATTATGAATATGAGAAATCCAAGAAGGAACAATCTAATTTCTTAGGCACAAAAATTAGATTATGTTACTGTTGGTTTTTAATGTATCAATCCTTAGATTCAAGAGCCAAAAACGAGGGTTATTTCCAGAAATTGGATAAGACCAAACAGTTATAGAAGGTTATGAGAAAGTTAACAACAGTTAAGAACCAAAAACATCAGTTAGGATGTAACCATAAGTTAGGAACTAACCATATGTCAAGAACCAAACATATCAGCTGCCTACTGAGGCTGTGAAGTTTTCCATAAACACTTCTTCCATAGAAACTAAATTTTCCCGAGCCCCACGAGGGCGGCCCCCTTGACTCCCGCCTTTGGGTCGTATCAGGATCAATATAGTCTTATACAAGTGTGCACTCTGCACCTTCTAACTTGCATAAAAAACTAAGTAAAGATCCCCTTTACCTCTCGTATATTTACCTCTTACACTAAATGAAACCGGTGACACTAGAATCACCAACAAATTCTATGTTCCATTTAGAGACTTGGACTTTCAGAAGTCAATAATTGATATCCTTAGGTTTGAAATTGACTAGAATTTGCCTGCAGACCAATTAGTTGTGGGTCTGAGACTTATTGACGATACAGGCTGCTTTTGTTTCTTTGTTTGATCTTGCTTTCTAAGAAAAAGAGATGATTAGTATTCACATATATCTGGAAAAACGATTGACAAGGTAATTACTAGGACTTTTTAGATGATTTATAATTGTTACATGCAAAAAAGAAATCAGATAGAAATTTGGAATTTGATGGTTTAGTGTTCAAGATAGAAGTTTGAAACAAAATCATTTGACTGTTGAAGATTACTAACCAGTCTTCTTATTTTAACTTTTTACTGGAAATACACCTTATTAATTCTCTGGAACTTATATAAGAAATTGAATATAGAGAACTCTGAAAGTTCGATGCTGCATTGTCAGGATGTATTTTTAGTTTTGGTCCGCCTATTTATGACATGGCTAACCTGTTTACATTATCTTGTATTGCAGCTAGAAGATGAAAGTAAGAAAAGAAATAAGTTGGTGTTGTTTCCTCCTGCCGATCAGCGAACTCAGGAATTTCACTTGCAAACAATGATGCAAGATATTGCTGCTTCCCTTCTAATGGAATTTGAGAAGTGGGTCCTTGAAGCCGAATCCGGTGGAACCCTTCTGAAGACACCTTTAGATTCTCAAGCTAGTCTTAGCGCAGAGGAGGTTTGTGTTTTAGGTGTCCTAGTGAAAGAAGTATTTCTTTGTTGTCTTTTATTGTCTTCACACCTATCTAATATTGATTGGTTGAGAATGTGTTTTAAGAACGAAAACTAACGAACTTGATCAGCAATTTTTTCAGGCGATCAAAGCCAAAAAGAGGAGACATGCCCGGGCCCAAAAGACCATAGGGGATTACTGTTTACTGGCTGGATCACCTATTGAYGCCAATGCCCATTATTCTACTGCTCTAGAACTTGCCAGGATGACTGGAGATTATTTCTGGTATGCTGGGGCATTGGAAGGTGGTGTCTGTGCCTTTCTGGTAAGCACATCAAATGATTAAAGATGCAAAGTTATTATAAATCAGATATGTTGATCTTTGGATTCTATATGTCCGGAATATTCATGTTACTGTAGCACCATCGAATTTCATATGGTCATTGTATTCAATGTTCTCAAGAAAGGATCTGCCTTGCCTAGCTGCCACCAATTTTGAGTGGTCATATGAGGTTGCTTACCTGCTCAAGATGGTACTTATTAAAGGGAGTTGGCTATTACTTTTTTCCATATGTACTCTAGGACCCAAGAAATTCTGGTTACAAATAATGGAACATAGAGAAAAGTTGGTTGAGTTAGTCCCTCATGAATTTTGGCTTAAAAAAACTAGTTAGAGTAGTCCTAAAAAAGAAAGACGTTGATGATTGATGCATGATGGTAGTATAGAGCCAAACGAAGAAAGTTTATGTAGGAGAGAAAATTAATTTTGGAAGAAAAGAACAGACATTTGGTCATATCCTCAAGCCTAACATCAATGAAGTCCATGTACAAACTCAGGGACTATGCACCTTTGCCTTATTTTTGAAACAATATTCTTAAATAATATAAATTTATTATCAATTATGAAATGCAGAGTGACAATCTGGTTTTCTTGTCATCCTCTGCTAACACTCCAATTTTCTTCTTTCTTTTTAGTTATTACATATCACAATAATTTTGGACCAATTTTCTACTCTTGGCATTCCAATATTCTGCAGAGAAGTTTGAAAGGGGTTGTCTTGGTTGCGGTGTGGAATGAGGTGTTGTACCAATATTCCGCCCATGAAAGGCAAGCCACCCATTGTTTTGGACGCCTGTTAATGAAACATCTTAGGTAGGTTTCAACCCAACAGTTAACCACTTTGGTCTGCCCATCCGATTGTGGATGGTACACTTTCAACTTGGTACCATTCATGCACCCCAATTCCTTCCGAAAATAGCTAAGGAAAATCTTGTCACGATCTGACACAATTGATCTCGGAATTCCATGCAAGCGGACCACATCCTTGACAACCACCCTAGCTATCATTACCACCTTGAATGGGTGTCGGATACCAATGAAATGGCTATACTTGGTCAAATGATCTGCTACCACCAATAATGCATTCACACCCTCGGAAAGCAGCAGTTCCTGGACAAAGTCCATAAGGATATCCTCCCATACTTCTTGAGGAATCTTTACGGGCTGTAGAAAACGTGCTGGAGATAGCGTCAAGTTCTTGTTTTATTGACAAACGTGCTGGAGATAGCGTCGAGTTCTTGTTCTTGTTCTATTGTCGCGGTCGTTTGTGTTCATGTGGGTGATTTCAGATGTCAATTCCGCGGTGTGACCAACCTTTAATCCCAATTGATTCAGTCGTTCAATAGCAATGAAGTTATATGAAGCCCCACAATCTATGAGCACGATTACCTCGACCCGGTTAATGCATCATGTAATCTTCATGGTTCGTGGAGAAGACAACCCCACCTCTGAATTTAGTGACAACTCTATCTCTTATTATTCTCGTTGCTCACATGGTACCTCCTGATCCCCGTAATTCTCGTCTCCCACTTCCTCCACTTTGGTGTGTTCATCCTGTAGCAACATCACTAGGAGCTCCTTTTTTTGAACTTATGGCCCACTCAGTATTTTTCGTAAGAACGAAATCATAGTCCTTAGGCTTGTTTGTCCATAGTCTCCTTCTGTCAACCTCCGGGTGGGTTTTAGCCGATTAATTACTGTCCTGGTGGTTCCCTTGCTAGCAAATAAACTACCACTACCAGGAGTTACAAGCTTTGACAGATTACCTGAGGCTCCCAAGGCTGGTTTATATGGGATACTGGCAGTCTTCGGTTCGCCATTCAATTGTCAGTTTCGATAATCCTTGTCAATCCTTGCGGTCTCATCAATCAGACTTTCGCTTGGATTGTGGGTTCAAGGCCGTTGACGAATTGCCTTCAAGCATCTTTCCGGTAGATCATTCAGGGACGAGGCTAACATTTCAAACAAATGTCGGTATTCCTTGATTGGTCCCACCTGATGTAAGGCCAAGAGTTGCTCCCAGGACGACCCTCTTTGCGTCGATCGGAGACGATGGACTAACAGATTTTTAAGCCCACCCAACATGTAGTTGGTCTCCGGTCATCGGTCCAATGGAACCATGCAAGAGCCTCTCCTTCCATACAAATTCTTGCCATCGCAACCTTTTCCGGATCTTCGAAACGTTGAAGTGTGAAGTAGCCTCTCCTCCTTGTTGGTGGTGGTTTTTGTCCTTCGTTGATCTCCACCATATTCACAGATGACATTTGATGTATCATTGCTTCCCAGTCCAGTTTTAGGGGTCGAATCAACAACCCCTGTCGGCTTCTCCCCTGCGATCGGACCCTGATTCAGTAGCGCCTCCAATTTCGATATCACCATCTGAATTTCCTGATCCAGTCGTTCTATGCGTCTTGAATTAACCGCATCTTGGTTACAAATCATCTGGATACTGTTCTTTATAGACAATATGCTTGTGTCAATGCCCACCGTACGACCTCCCGAAGCTTGCACCGCATCTTCTAATGCGTCAATTCTCTCTCCCTGGTTTTTAGGAGCCATGGTCGCCAGAGGCTCTGATACCGGGTTTCAATTGATTTTCAAAAGGAAGAACATAAATAGGAAAAACTATTTGTCCAAATTTGAGAGCCAGACCCCCTCTCAATATGAAGCTAAACAAATCAAGGATATCCCCCAGTTCCCCCACCGATTATTTAAAAGACTCCTCACTACCGCCTTAGACTTCCTTCTAGAATATACTTTGGTAATTTGAGCCTTATCATATTCATCCTAATTTAATGCTAACAAACAATAAACATGAGTTCTTGAATCCATGTGTACCATTTTGAGGCTATGTCTCTGAGCAATACTCGAGTTGAAGTTAACGACGATGATCCCACTGCGTTCCTTTAAACAAAACCATGTTTATGATCTGGTTGTATTATCTGTTTTCATCAAAATGAAAATTTATTTAACTATGAAATTGAATATTTAACCATGAAATCCATGGTAGTGGCCTTTTCTTGTCATGCTATGCTGATACTCCAACTTTCTTCTGCTTTTTGATTATTAACAAATTGCAAAAGTAATGGTTCTAGTTTCTTCTCATGAAATTCGTACCCCCTTTCTACTAAGAAACAATAACACAATGGTCTGGATCCATGTTTACTGTTTTGATGTTATGAACAAATGTTGCAAGTCTTTGAGCAACACTAAGGTTGTACTTACAACAGGTCTTTGTAAAATGTGCTTTTATAAGATCTCCACCTATCATAGCTGCTGAAACATTTCCTGTTATGCATATGCTGTAAGATGAGTAAAGCAGGGGAGAAGGATCCAACTTTAGTGGATGAGGTCAAATATCGCTACAATGGTGTCATCATGCATTATAGGAAGTCATTTATACAAGAAAATGCTCAGAGGTACCACATTTTTCACTGTTAAAGCATACTTAAATATGTACTTAAAGTAATTTAATATTTTGTGTCTGTTTTTGTTAACCATACTATATATGGTAATGCAACAATAGGCTTGTCATTCTTTAGGGACAAAATTAATCTAATTTAATGATAACGGTACTTGTTTCTTAAGCCAACCATGGTTTTATAGAACTCTATGAAACAACCATGGTATATGTGCATGTATAAGCGTTCTTCCCGTCCAAACATAATGATGCATATTTCTTTTTGCGGTGTCCAAATTGGATGATTCCTTTTTGTTACTGATAAAAAAGCCCGTATACGACCTTGCCCATGACCTTAGGTCGTGTGGCAGGGTTACCCGCGTCCTGGCTCCCAAGTCAGTGATTGATGCAGCCATGCCGCGGTTTAGACCGCATTCCTAGTTGCGTGAGCGTCTGCCGTGCCGACTCCAGAGGCGTACATGACCTTGGCCGCGACCGGGCTAAGTCGTGTGTGAGTACTTTCTTAGCCAGAAACTTTCGTTTTTGCTTTCGAATGTCGCCAAAACTAGACAAGGTGATTACATATCACAATGAAATCATAAACCAACCTTTTTGTAAAACAAACACTTGGCCCTATCCCGAATTCATATTTAACAAAATTACGGGTGTTCAATATTAAAGGGTAGGGAGTGGAAATGATTGGGGGTGCTTGTTATAGTATAATAATGATCCTTTGCGAGATAATGGGTAATGGATCATTCCTGAAAGGGGGTATACCACATCTCACAACACTCTTATCAGATCAAAAACCCTTAAGCTTTCGAAATGCCCTACCCTCTACTTGGCGAACCACCTCATGCCGTTGTCGGTCCATGGCATGATGGCATCAATTCAATGATCCTTCCAATTCCCATTCCCATTCCCTAATATGAACCAAACGCCCCTTTTAGTTGTCTTGTTACCCACTTCACCAAGTACACCATTAATGTACTTGGCTATGCACCAAAAGTTTAATTGTGGATACTATAAAGAGTATCACAAGTGAATTCCAAGTTTAATATGTGTATAAAGCCCACCAAACCATTTATTTTGGATGGGGGAGTGTTGTAGCTGTGCCTAGACCAGAGGCACTTAAGAGTGTGCAGTGGACTGGACTGGACAGAAAGCGGAAAATAAAAAATAATGGAACCAAAAACCAAATCAATCTAAACAGGCTGGATTCTGGAACCAGTTCTGTTTTAGAACCAGTTTGATCCATAACTGGACCCTGAATCTAATATATATTTTCTTTTGTTATAATTCGAAAAATTCAAATATAAAACAACTTTGTTTCAAGTTAAAAAAAAAATAAGAAAAGCAGTTCGGTTCCTGTTTTCGAAACCAATCTGAGAACCGATTTTTGATTTTTTTTGAACCACACTGAACAGAAAACCGTTTTATAAGAAAACGTAGAACCTAGAATCGAACTGAGCGAAGTCAGTTCCGGTCCGGTTCTTAGTTTTTTTCCTCCCAATTCCCTCTACCACCTAGGCTGGCATATTGATAAGAATTTCATGCGTGATGCACAACTTGCTTTACATCCATCTTTCACACCTATTTCATCTAAAATACATCAATATCTGTAGGAAGATGGAGATGGTGGTGTGGTGCTGCTTGTCATTATGGAGTTGGATGTGGGAACAACATGGGGTCCCAAAGATATTTTATTCTGGGTTATGTAGGCTAAATTTTGGGTTGGACTCAATATTTTTGGAGAGTTTGTGGAGTAGTGTTTGAATGTGCCATATCTCATTCGGTTTCAGGAAACAAGACTTACGACTTTTGGAAGTTTGTTTAGTAGTTTGGGATCAGAGGAAAAAACTTAGAGATGTTAGTTGGATAACAAAAGTATGTCTAGAAGTATATGCAAGTCCTCATGACGTTAGGATTTTATCACGTGCATCATTGAGCAATATAATTGCTACATCATCAATATCCTTATGTTGGAATCTTTGCAATTATATTTCGCAGGGTTTCGCCTCTCAGCTTTGAACTTGAAGCTACTTTGAAATTGGCAAGATTTCTTAACAGGTACACTTGCACCTTCAATTGAAGATACCTAACCCTTTTTGTTTGAGTGAAAATTTATTGTATTCATTTAGGTTACAAAATATATTTTTATTTATGATCACACTTCACATTGTGTAAATTGAGCTATGCTAACATGATAAACACTAAATAATGATTAACATCGCTACTAGTTGGGTAAGCTACCATTGAATCCCAATAAAGTGAATCCCAAGATCCATGAATTGTCTTCAAGTTGGCAGTTGGGAACCTTTATCCCAAACAAGTTCAGTATGCATGAAGTGAAACCCAACATTTAAAGCGAAATTAAAGTGAAAGGTAGACATGAAGTACGTAGGTCCAGATCTGGATGCATCCTTCCCCTAACTAGATGTTGGATGCCTCTGATATCATGCCTTAAGGCCTCTTAAATAGTTAAACATGGTCTCCTTGTTCTCCTCCTAAAAAAGAACTATACGAATTTGGCCAAACACACGCCCTCTCTCCACCAAAGCACCCTTGCCAACTAAGCATCAAACTGTTGTCCCTGAAGGAACCTCGTTCTCCGGGCTTTGCAGGTGTCACCTTGCCTGTACATCTTCATCCGTCTCAGATTCATAGGGGTCAGCATCCGGAGGATGTGTGAGCGACTTCCTTCCACATCAGCTCATAAATCCAAAACCTGCTTCTTGTGAAAGAAACGCTTTCTTTTTGTTAAACTTGTCACCTTTTTTTTGTTTAGATAGTTGGCCATGCCCTAAAGATTTTGAATATCTTTAATTGAAGTTCAATATAATAGCATTCCAAAAGAGTGGGGTCTTTAGTTTGATGGACAGTAGATCAAGTACAGAAATGTTAGGCCCACACATGGGGCTCAGCTCATTTCTATTTACGGATAAGTGTTAAGATTTGTGGATAAGGATTAATTTGTCAATAAGGAAGGTTTCTTAGTTCGGAAATTCTATAAACAGTGATTAGGAGAAGCAGATGATTTGATAAAGATTTTAGAATTAAATCAGGCATCTTGGAAGAGACGCCAGACCTCTCGAATGTTGGGCATTCATTTCGTTCATTATTAGTTACTTTTTATCAGCTAAACATGTTTGCTTCTTACCATTTTGGTGTAATCTTTGCTTATTTTCCTTCGGAAGATTGGTTACTGCTCCTCCTTGAAAAATGCATACTGGCACAATGCTGCCTTGTTTGCACAAAAACCTTTCTGGTGCTTCTTTTTCATTTGTTATTTTGTCATTCTTAACATCTAAACCTTCATTTCTTCTTTTACCAGCCCTCTTAACTTGCAATGCTGTGGGTTTCAGTTAACTCCTTTTTATCTTTGTCCATTACTTTGTTCTCTTGTAATTAATGTTAATATGTTATTTATAATTGATACGGTATCATCATTTTATGTGAATCGTTGGGATCTGAACTATCCTGTATACAGCATCTAACAGACAATTGTTTGGGTTATACTGGGATCTGCGTATGAGCTAAATTTCTCTATTCTTCGTTTGTTGGTGGTCAGTTGCATGACATTTTCATGTGTTGGGCAGACCATTGCTAGTTAAGGAGGTAGTGGAGCTGTTGACTACTGCCTCAGATGGAGCTAGATCTTTGATTGATGCAAGTGATAAACTGATACTGTACGTTGAGGTAGCTCGTCTATTTGGAACTCTTGGTTACCATAGAAAAGCTGCCTTTTTCTCCAGGCAGGTGGCTCAGATATATCTGCAACAAGAAAACAATTTGGCTGCTTCTAGTGCCTTGCAAGTATTGGCATTGACTACAAAAGCTTATCGTGTCCAAAGTAGAGCTGCCACTGCCAACCACAATGTTTCCAATGTGAGTTATGTCACCTGTTTGTTTGGATTTCCTAGTGATATGTGAAGCACTTTTGGAGCATTTGAGATTTAATAGTTGCGAACCCTTGACACAATGTGGCACCCACTTCTTCCACTTGCTGAGAGGCATAATGAAATATCACATCCTTTGACAGGTCTTTTGGATGAACCTATTTACAGTTAAGCACCTTTCTGTGCAGTACAATCCAATTTCTCTCTGCTTGCCCCCCCTGGGGGGTAGATTTTATTTGTCCAACATGGAGATCCTTGTTTTTGCTGGAACTTAATAGACGATCACCGATTCTTGCATCAAATTGAATTTCAATTATGTATTTATATTATGCAAGGAAACTGGTCAATATGTTACTGATTCTGGGAAGATGCATCATCACTTCTTGGTATCTCTATTCGAGTCCCAGTGGAGCACATTGCAGATGGTTGTATTAAAGGAGATACTTCTCTCTGCTGTTCGTGCTGGAGATCCTCTTGCTGCATGGAGTGCAGCTGCTCGTCTAATAAGATCTTACTATCCTTTAATCACACCTCCTGGCCAAAATGGACTTGCAAGTGCCCTTACCAATTCAGCCGAGCGGCTTCCTTCTGGAACTCATTGTCCTGATCCTGCCTTGCCTTTCATAAGGTACTTGCAAATACACAAACTCCACCGTGTTGGGAACTTCTGTTGTCTTTTGTTCTCTGTGAATTGATACACTTCCCATGGCATTGGTCATGTTCCTTGTATTGTAATTTTTTTTCGCATGTGTAGAAGAGGTAGCACAATTTTAATCTGGAAACTACCTATGCCTTCTTAATTAATCTAGAAATGCAACTATCTAACACTTCTTGCTTAAGATGGCTAATTGCCTGCTTGTTATTTGCTTTTCAGATGAGTGAGAAGGTAACACCTTATGCTTACTTTTTGCAGCAAAGCGTTATTATGTGGTCTAAGGCAGGTGCCACTTGGGTCAGAACACAAAGGAGACATGAATATTTAATTGACGTACAGATGTGCAATATGGTAAGATTTTTGGCAGCTTCTGCCTTGGTGAGGTGGAGATGGTAGTCCACTGAGAATATTGATTTGCACTGCAAGTGAACGGACGCTTATAGCGATTGGCAAAACCACTTCAATGATAGATATTTTTGGATGATGATCGGAAAGGAAAGAGGAGGTTAGATACTGCAGCAGAGAGGCACTCACTCAGGACATACTGCAGATAGAGTTATAGGGAAATTGATTGAAGGAAATAAATTCACATTTAGGACAGCTAATATCTCTTGAACATCCCAATTGAGATGACCTAAAGCATCTTAACCCAATGGTTGATTTCTTAATTGATTTGCACTGCAAGTGAACGGGCGTTTGCAGCGATTGGCATCTCAACTAGGATCTCTTTGAACATCCCAATTGAGATAACCTAAAGCATCTCAACCCAATGGTTGATTTCTCTTAATTGACCCTGAAAAAGTAGTGTAGCCAAACAGATTTGTATTCTTTGGGCCAAAAATTGTACAAGACATCTTGAGTGCACTTAGCTTCTTATCCTCTGATAAAACCACCATGCTTCCCACCTTGCTGAAAATGATTCTCACTTCTCAGGACTCTCTCTCCAAGAAATTAATTATTTTTGTTAGGTTTTAGAGAGCTCAAAGCTTGTCCCCTGTATATAACCTCTTTAGTACAAAATGTTTGACAGAGTAAAAAGAGGACTGTTCTGTCTTCTTGACTGTGATTAGATCAGCTTTCGTTTTCTCATACTTATGTACTTCAAAATGATTTGGACTGTTGCTGATAAAAAAGTTGGAGACATAATACGGCGTGCATACGTTTAACCTTGTTTCTTGTGCCTGGTTCACGATGTTCATCAAAAAGCAATTTGTGTGCACTGCGAATTCTTCTGGAGGTTACGGAATGGATATTAGAAATGAATTCTTGCATGAAATCCTGTCTAATCCATACTCAATGGTTTCATGCTTTTCTTTCAATTTTTGCAATATGAATTTTTTTTGCACATGGTTATGCAGTTCTGGCCAATCTCATTTACCTAAAGTGACGTGACTAAATATCATTCCTGATCACCAGGTTGCATTCATTTCCTCTCCATTCCTCACAAACAGATATTATAAAACGAAATCCTAAAAGAGAGGATTGGTGGGCAGGGTCAGCTCCTTCTGGGCCTTTTATTTATACACCATTTAGTAAAAGAGATTCTGCCGGCAGCAGTAAGCACAGCCTGATTTGGATTATCGGGGAGCCAGTCCAGGTGTTGGTGGAATTAGCAAACCCTTGCGGCTTTGACTTGATAGTTAATAGTATTTATCTGTCGGTGCATTCTGGAAATTTTGATGCATTTCCTGTCAGCGTCACCCTTCCCTCTAATTCTTCCAAAGTGCTTAGTCTATCAGGGGTTCCAACAAAGGAAGGGGCAGTAAGTATACCTGGATGCATTGTCCGTTGTTTTGGTGTACTTACTGAGCATTTCTTCAAAGATGTTGACAATTTGCTCCTTGGAGCAGCACAAGGACTAGTTCTTTCTGATCCTTTTCGTTGCTGTGGGTCTGGAAAGCTGAAAAATATCACTGTTCCTAACATTATAGTGGTACCTCGACTGCCGTTGTTAGTTTCACACGTCGTAGGTGGTGATAGTGCTATAATATTATACGAAGGTGAGATTCGTGATCTCTGGATTAGTTTGGCTAATGCTGGTACAGTTCCAGTTGAGCAGGCACATATCTCCTTATCAGGGAAAAATCAAGATTCTGTTGTATCAATTGGCTATGAAATTTTAAAATCCGCACTACCATTAAAACCTGGTGCTGAAGTGATTATACCAGTGACCTTGAAAGCATGGCAACTTGGTTTGGATCCTGATACTGCTAATAAGAGCACAGCTTTTAATGTACCGAGGCAAGCCAAGGATGGAAGCAGCCCCATGTTGGTAATCCATTATGCAGGTAATTATTATTACTATCTTCCTGATGGTTTAACTTTTTTTAACTAGATCATTATGTTAGTAGTTTGGTATAAATTGTATAGGGTTTTAAGCTGCGCTATGAATAGAGAAATTAATTGTTGATGCCTTATGATAATCTACCAGGCATGGTATGTTTAAATGTTATTATGTTTTACGTCATATAAGTTGTTCCTGGCAGGCTGGCACTTGAGTTGGGCATCTAAGTGTAAGAATGTTTGGTTATGATGGCTATGACGTATGAGCTATAACAAGGGGCAAAAGTATGCTAACATGTTGGAAGGTCATTTTACTAAATCATAGACTCCATCCTTTCTTTGAGGTTCCTATTACGTGAAACTGCACACTAAAAAGTAGGTGGGCCTAATAGACAAAGAGTAGCTGCTAACCTTAAAAGAGACTGACAAAAACCCCAGGAGGCAGCTGAAATTAGAGCATCTCCAATGCAAGGTTCTTATAAGCAAAAAGTGTGGGTTCTTAAAAGAACCACCATTAGAGATAGTTCTTATAAGAACCTCACATCCTTTGAGTTCTTGTATAAGAACCTTGGTTTTTACCTTGAAATTGGTATAAAGTGACCTTTTTGTTAGTTTTTTTTATTATATTTTATCCACTTTATAATTATTATTGATGTTGAAAAAAATGCATGGAACCCACAGAATGGGTTCTTATAAGAACTACCATTGTGAACTTTTGTATAGGTTCTTAATTTGGTGAGGTGGAAATGATGTGGCAAGCAAAAGTACAAAATTGGTTTCTTATAAGAACCTCCGCTGGCGATGCTCTTATATGTTTAAACCAGGACATGACAGGACTTAGTGGGATAAAAATGCATTTTTTTGTTCCACCAAGGTGGAGATGGAGCACATATCAGGGAGATTAGACAAAATTGGTAAATTACTAAAGTACCCATGCTAATTAAAACCCTAAAACCTTGCGTATTTCTTTCACCGGCCTACCTCATTCTCCCCCGTCCAATCGTGTCCAGTGCCGTCTGCCTACCAAACACACCACATGAGATTTCCACATGTTAAAAATATCTGTGTTTTCGTCAAAAAGTCCACAGTTTTGAGGTGTTTCATGTTGTTACTCTAGCTCAATTTCATTCACAACCTATCTTAAACCTACCTTGACTGCTTGCTTTGTCCTTTCTGTTAGGGCCTATTGGAAACAATGGAGAGCCACCAGCAAGTGATGGTGTGGTGCCGCCTGGTCGCCGCCTCGTCACTCCCCTAAACATCTGTGTTTTGCAGGGGCTGTCTTTCATGAAAGCTCGATTGCTGTCAATGGAAATCCCCGCTCATGTTGGAGATGTTCCTGAAAATGTATTAGATAGTGGTTCCACTGATTCCTCAAAACAAGCAGATAGATTGGTGAAAATGGATCCCTTCAGGGGAAGCTGGGGCTTAAGATTTCTTGAATTTGAGTTATATAATCCTACTGATGTTGTATTTGAGGTCAGTGTCTCCGTCCATCTGGAGAGTACAAGTACCGACAACTCTTCCGAATTCACTTATCCTAAAACAAGAATAGACAGAGATTACAGTTCAAGAGTACTTATACCATTAGAACATTTTAAGTTACCAGTTCTTGATGGTTCTGTTCTCATTAATGATTCACGATCAAATGGAGGTGTGAACACGAAAGCTGAACTTAATGCTTCTATCAAGGATCTGATTTCAAAGATTAAGGTGAGGTGGCAGTCAGGCCGGAACAGCTCAGGAGAATTGCATATCAAAGATGCCACACAAGCAGCCCTTCGAACATCAATAATGGACGTTTTGTTACCAGATCCTTTGACCTTTGGTTTTAGGCTTGCTAAAACTCGAGATTCACCAAAAGGTTCTTCTCCTTCAGTGAAAGGTTCAGTTGTGGCAAATGACATGACTCCCATGGAAGTTTTGGTTCGAAATAACACCAAGGATTCTATCAAGATGAGTCTTAGCATTACATGCCGAGATGTAGCAGGTGAAAACTGCATTGAAGGCAACAGTCCTACAGTACTATGGGCCGGTAAGTCTAACCTCCCCGCCCCCCCAAAAACACACACACACACACACACTTCCACACAGGCATAACTTCCTCCTTCCCAAATTAAGTTCAATGTTTAAATGGGCTCAGATTTATTGACAGTGATTGTCTATTAGTCAAATATCTAAACTACCCCTACACAATAATGGACAAAGAAGTAACTTCATATTGAAACTTTGTCCAGGAGGGGATTGTTGCATTCCCGTTTGAGGCCATCCCATAAATGACATTGTTTATCCTTAACAACGATGAAATAGAAGAATCTAGTGGTCAAAATAAATGAGCTCACTTTTATTAATGGACAAATCGAAACTTTCTCTAGAAGGGGATTGGTGCATTTTATCGAGGACATCCTACAAATGTTATTGTGTGGGGGTGGAGGTGATCTAATACATATATTAGTGCCCAAAGTTGTTAAATGCTCATGACGCACTTAGTCGCAAAGGGGTCCTCAGGAATGCAAGGCGTATCTTATCAATATACACAACACACAGCTACACATAGTACTTCGATAGAGGCAGGGGGAGGGAGAAGGGTTCAAAGCATGAGCCGTGAGGGAGAAGTTTTAAGGTCTGGGTATTTATAGATAAGGAGGCTTGAAATTCTATGGACTGTGTATTTATTATTAGAATTTGACTTATGTCATCTATTTAACAACTATATTTTTTAAGAAGTCTAGGAGATGCAAAGATGAGAAAACTTGTTTAATATTAGGGTTTGACTAGGTACTCAATAACTCTTTATGAGGCACATCTAGGCCCACAAGGCGCCTCAGCTAAGGCGTTAGCGAGCGTCGTGAATACGCCTAGCCTCGACTGTAAAAAAAGCCCAAGACCTTAAGCCTATGAGCCTCAAAGCCTAGGCGCGCTTTTAACAACTATGCTAGTGCCTTTGCACTCGAATATTCATCGAATCATATATGGCATTGCATATAAAGTTTTATAGACTTCTGAAAGAATTTGAATCATGCCACGTATATCTTAGAAGTCTTGATCTGCATAAGTGTTGGTTGCATGCACTACTTGGATTTGAATTTTTGTTCCTATTTCCTATCTTTATATATCTCCATATGAAGTAGGACCCATAATAACATCTTTATTTTTTTCATAAACATGACCCGAAGATGAAACTACTAAATAGTCTAAGGGCTTGCTGTTAGCAGCTTAATGGAACACTCAGCTTATTCGATCAGCTATACATGATTAGTTGGTATTGACTTAATGATATAGAAAGTGGCTTATTCAGTAAGCTTTTAGGGGGAGCTTTATGCATAAAGCCAAGTTTTTCTCCAAACCATCCTCCATCTATGAAAAACCTTTCCCAATCTATACGGACAGATTAATCCACACAATCAGCTTTATCCATACAGGTCTTGATGGAAAACCAACCAAACAATCCCTAAGACTGCTCACACATTTATATATGTACTAGAAGCGTACTCGCGCAATGCAGCGAGATACATCATGTTTTTAATATTTCATTTTATTCTTTATCTCAGTCGATGTTATAATATAGTTTAATGTGATTTTGAGAAAGCGATAATGTTTTTGTTTTTGAATAAAATATATGTTTGACGATATCAAAAAAATTTGACAAAAATATATCGATATTAGTATCAAATTAACCATTTGAAATTCCTCATTTTTTTGTGTAATTTTTTAATCCAATTTTTTTATAATTTAATTTATGTACAATAACGAAGTAATTTATATTTG